TGCACCCTGCCACTAAAATCTACACAACACCCCACTGTTGACTGGTAGAGAATGCCTACGGCATTAAGAGCGCCATTGTATAGTATGTGCATGAAGAATAAAATAAATAAAATAAAATAAAATATTAGTATGTATGTACTTAACTATTTTCATAAATTATTAACATTAGTATTTAAAAGTAATTCGATTTTACGAATCATTCCAAATCCCAATCGCAATACTGTATTGGAAATTATTGTATCAAATAAAGAATTTGTATTTGTATCCATTATCGCCTACCACTAAAAAGAAATTGAGAGCGAAGATGGGGCCATGGGAGGAAATTCACTATCTGTTAAGAATCAATGGAAATCTAGGTAAAGTCTAGTAGGAAGACAGACAGGGATAAGGAAAAGTTTTAGAAACAACAATAGCTTTTATATTATTGCAAGCAAAAGATGCATGAATATCTGGGAAGTGTACGCGTGTGGGAATACTCTGTGCATTGGTATGAACAACGTTGAGGATCTTAGGAACATCCGAAAAAGCATAATACAAAAGCTCATTCAATTCAGAAGAGGATCTAAACTCTGAAAACTAGAGGTGGCAATAGAGGGAGATGAACATGATAAGAAAATATATTGTCTATCCAATATATAAAAATAAAAACAAACAAAAATTAAACAGTTATAGGTTTTAACAAACTACATCAAATACCCATAGGTTGTTTGAAAAAAACAATGAGAAAATATAAAATTTGTGAGCGAGTTACCCTGACGGATGTTTTTGTTTTACTAGAGACCCCTGGTATGTGTTGTTGCAGTCGGGTTTTAAAATATTTTCGTAAGACAGAACGTCTGTCGCGTCCACTAGTGTATTATAGATTTGTATTTTAAAAGAATACAAGTTGTTAAGAAAAGTCAGTTCAACTCAACGCTATTATCCGAAAGTAAAATTACTGCCATTCAAATAATATTCGCCCGCATGACATGGGCCAAGACGTGCGTGACAGTAAGTCTAATCTGTCTTCAGACTAATTGCAGGTACATATTGTGTCTACTGCCAAATTTCCTCTCCCGAAAACTAAAATTGACTAAGTATAACTTACAGGTTATATACTTGTACAAAAAGAATATCAATTCATTTACACTGAATAATATTTTTAGTTATATCACAAAATAAGTAGTACCTACTTATATAGTTAACGAATATAATATATCTTTACAGACAAGTAGTTTTTAAATCTTTCAATGCCTGCATAATTTTATTAAACTACGCCGTATTCAAATACAATACAAATAAACAAAATAATATTGAAACACAAGGCAATGAAATAAATTTAAAATCTATTTTCAGAAGCGAATAATTACCGCTTCTTTAATAAGAGTAGGGGTATTAAAAGAGTATTTGCATAACAAACTTAAGTCTCTAAAATACCGCGACACCTATAGCAACAGAATTGAAACGCTCATTTCTATTTTAAACTAAGACTAAAACTATTTCAAAATGTTTCCATCAGTTTTGCGAATAAAATAGTGCTGTATCAAAACGAAACCCGATGTAATTTATTGTGAGACCACCCCAATTAATCAGTTGAATGGGCAAGCACTCTCGCAACCTGCAAGTTATGTTGCGAGGAGGTTTTTACGTAGGTACCTCTTCTTATGGTAACACGCCAATCTAATTGCCTGCTGTATAGTGGTAAGCTTTTTATGGAAATATACATAACAACAATGTACAGCCCTTGGTAATATCGAGGATTGCGAGCGGACTACAAAGGCTAGACAATAGTGAGCATGTTCAATAGAATGTTCATATTACTGCATGTCGTGTACTCATGTGTCACGTACGCGAAAATCATTTATACCATTTCATTCATAATTAATGTTTAACTTAAATACATTATTAAACTGTTTATTTAATCTAAACTAATACTTTTAATTTACTTTTAATCTTTTAGTTCTTTTCAAATTTGATAATTAGCAATCTAGTAGTCACGATGTAATATTTTATTAAGATTATGTTTGTTCCATTATCTATCATATAAACTATTGAACTAGTATGTGGTTTTTGAAAAGCTTTACTTGGAGACGCTGTTTACTACGTAATTTTATTTGTCACGAAATCTTGCTTATATTGAAACACAATGGAGGTCAACATTTTACATAACAACAGCCTGGAGGCTGTTGTTCAATGATTAAGAAAAATAAAAAAAAATAGACGAAATGGAAAAGCGTTCTCGTCCCTTTTATAAAAAGCATATACTTATATTAAGCGCTGAAGGGAGCTCACGCCTCTAATTTAATTAACGCACAAAGCCTGCAGTTTGTGACGCACCGGATATGCTCGCTACACGCGACCTACACGTAGCTACGGCTACGTTTGTTCGTATTTAGTAAAGCGTTGATTGCGAAAGTAAACTTATATAACTTTAAAATTGGTACTTTATTGGGTTTGGCCTGATCATGTAGTGTAAATTTGGACTATACATACTCTCACACAGACACACATTCACACACACCCACCCACACTCACATACATACACACAAATAAGACACAAACACGATTTAATTTCTGTTTTATTATTAAATTAGGATTAAGATTAAAATTTTTGTAGTAAAAATTGTTTTCTGGAGGTGGGCGTTAATAACTGCGACACAGTTTTATAACTAATGCAGTTATTATAGATCACTATTGTCATTGTATCTTTGTTATGGTTTTAATAAATATTTCATTTCATAAAACATGGATAACTTGGGTTAGGAATTTAGACACGGGCTCCTCGTTGTGCTGTCGTCATGCCATGTGATCGATTTATAATTAAAATTTTGAGTCGTCATAGTTATCCGCGACCGAAAAAGCTCTTTTAAAGTAGATGTAGGTACTACACCTACACCAATAAGAGTCAGTATCAGAGGTGAAAATGACTCACTATTAATTTGTTCTTAATAAGATAAGAATTACATCAGATTAGAAATTACTAGCAAACCAGTGAACCAAATATTCACCAAAAAAAAAATATATTTAATTAATTGAGAATTTCGGAGATTTTGTGTGGTTTCATTTGAAATAGAAATCACGTGATTTCTCGAAAACCGGAAGTGCTACGTTACTCACATCCGGTTTGTAGTCTTATCAGACTATTCTGAACTTATAACTTAAACATTCTCTTTATCTATCTCTTACGGTTTGGCCGCTGAAACAGCACCACGGACGGACGGGCTTGTCTAATAGATAAGAGATATTAGAAATTGAAAGAAAATGCAAATACCCGAAATTTTATAATTTGTAAATAGTTTAGATTGTAAGCCGTAATAATTTTCATAATGTTGTGATGCAAAATAGTCGTAAATACAGATATCTCAAAATATAATAGATAAGATTAGTAAATACTCAGACGCTTTATAGCTACAATGCTTATTCAGAGATTTTATATTTGATGTGAACTAAATTATTCATCGAGTGGATAAAAAAGGTGGAGTCACGCCCACCCATAAATTTCAATGTTTTTGCTATCATAACGACAAAAGGAAGTATGCACAACGACGACCAATGTTGATCGTATATTTGCTACCAAAAGATAAGAAATGACTGAATCGTGTGATTTCTGCTGTGTAAGGTTAAGACTGAACAGTATTTACGACATCTCCCGCGAGTCTACAGCATTACCAAGGACATAAATAGGACGAGGGTGGAGTATTCCTATTTCGCGTAAATATTTAGAAAGCAAGGTTTTTTACCCCTTAACAATAATGTTATTAAACACTAGTGGTACGCCCTCGTTCCTAGGCTTGTATTTATACACAATGAATTTCTTTATATAATTATAAACCTTCCATGAAAATCTATTTAACTGATAGTGAAAATCTTGTTGCGTAGTTTAGGACCCGTTGTACCGAATGCACCATTTTCTTGGTTGCACGCGCAAATCTCAGGAACTTAGGGAAGGTCCGATTTGAAAAAGTATTTTTTGTTAGATAGTGCATTTATTAAGGAAGGCCTAAGGCTATATAATATTAAGCTGCGACCAGTAGTGTGTAAAATGTTGCAAAAACGGGTAAAAATATGCCATTTGGGAGATTCCGCAGCGTGCACTACGTAAATGATTATATAAAGTTACTCAAATATCATGTAAATATTATGAAATTTAGGTAGGTATACCTTTAGTGCTAGATTGCGCCATCGGGAAAATTGTTTACGGCAACTATATTGTAGACAAATAGACTTCATGACGGAATTGTTCCCCTTTAAAAGTTCTATAAAAAAGTCCGCGACAGCATATACATATATATATGCCCATCTTTTAAGTTTAACTCACTTAAAATTAACCTTTTCCTTCAAATTAACGCGGGTGAAACCACAGGCAAACCTTTAGTTGTGACATAACTGTAATAGTTAGACATATGAAATCGTGGATTTTTTTCTAGATATATACATTCTCTATAAAACTTTAGTACATAATTTTGCTCTATTGTCAATGACTTCCGCAGTGTAAGCGATATGCGGTTATTTTTTCGAGTTTTTTTTACAACCTGGGTTACATTATCGAATTTTGTCATACGAAACCCTAACTTTTTTTGAAAATACTCCATAGTTCATCAGAGATAATGTAGATTTCTAAATGTGTAAGATTTTTTTTAATCAGTCCCGTAGTTTCGGAGCCTATTCAATACAAACAAACAATCAAATCTTTCCTCTTTCTAATATTAGTACCTATAGACAAACAGTTAATAATAACTTAATCAGAAAATAGTTAACGTTTTAATACAACTATTTAGAGAGATTTATTAACTATAAACGGATATCCAGAAATTTTTAGTAAGAATGGGTCTTCAATAGTTATTGTTTTAATATGATAGTAATTCATTGCCAGCTCTTTTCCGTTGTTGTACAAAATTGAAATAAATTTCAATTGTGGATACTACATTTAACGGAATGCACGCTATATTGCATGTATGCATGATTGCTAAGTATGAACAAACAACAGTAGGAGATCATGTAAGTTGTTCTAATTAACGTACCTCACTGAAGAATTCGTCCATGAAGCCGCCTTCAACGGCGACGTTGACATCGTCAGGCCCAACGTCGTCATCGTCGCTTTGCGCCTGCGAACAAGATAGGACACATGAATAAAGACAAAATATTGCCCTCTATACATTTCGCGGGCGTCCTGATCATGACAATTACAGTGGCCTGCGCTGACGAAGGACTTTGTCCGCGAAGGATAAGTCCCGCAATCGTGAAACAATCGTTCGCCAAGGACTTGTCACGGACGGCACATGATGTGCGAACATTTGCCCCCCCCCCCCCCCCCCCCCCCCCCCGAAAATTTAAAAAGCTCATGCTAAGGAAGTTAATATTCTCAGATTACGTTGTGTTGTAATTATCATAAAGTTTAAGAAAAAGAAAAAGAGAAGACGTTAGACACATGAATTCTATTTTTGTAGGGGACACCCGTGTACTTTTATCATGTCCGGTCTCTCGGTGTCATCGGCTGTTTGGGGGACTTTTTGTACGCGGTATTTCAAATCCGTCGTGTGCTTTACTCGATACAGTTGTTAGCGGTCTATTTTGACTAACAAAAAAGTCCGGTCGGTCCTGATCTGTTAAAGCCACATTCATCAAACTCTGCAGTTATTGCATGCATGCCTGTGTATTTTTCATGCTTGTCTGTCGCTTATCTTCATGATAAGATCACAATTCACAAATGTCAACGTTAAAGGTTCATTGCTAATAACCTTCCCTGACGATGAAGGGCTGATTTTTAGAGTTCCGTATCTCGAAAGGAAAAAACGGAACTCTTATAGAATCAGTCTATTGTCCGTCCGTCTGTCAAGACCTCTTTCTCAGGAACGCGTGGAGGTATCAAGCTGGAATTTATATCAAATACTCAGGTCTACTGTCCCTTGGAGCTATGAAAAAATCAAACTTCTAAGCCAACGCAAACAAAAGATACAGCCGTATATGCCACAAATTTCAGAAAATTTTCGTAACTTGGTAAGGAATCAAAACCTACAGGGTACTTTCCGTGAACTCAGAATCTTGAAATTTGGTACGAAGTAACATCTTATAGCACAGATAAAGGAAAAAATGCGAAAACCGTAAACATTACCTACAGGTTTGTACGGAACCCTAGGCGCGCGAGTCCGACTCGCTCTTGGCTAGTCTTTTATTATGTTCAAAGGGTAGCAAACAAGCTCATGGCCCGCCTGATGGCAAGCGGCCACCATAGCCTATATACACTTGCGATACGAAAAATATCACTCGCGCCGTTGCCTACCCTGACTCCATCCCCTAGTTTCTTAATTTATTTTGTCCATTGATAAATAAAGATATTCTATAATAGCATTAATCAAGAAGGTTGAACAGTAAAACACTTTTATAAGCTTATAACTCCCCATTTCTTATCGCGACCCTGTTGAATAGCGCACGTACCAAGCCAATATTGAATCCACTTAGGTGAGTCCGCCATTATTCAATTTATACTAAAAGTGTGAACACATTTGTGTACCACAAGAAATGAAACAGGAAATTTATTGGTACAGCATACGGATACTTTTCAAATCAAACTGACTTTTATAATGAAATCCGCGATTTACCATTTATATTTACTTACAAATATACACTCCCTATTACATATTTGATTCTGAAAAAATTAAATGACTTGATGAATAACAAGTTATGTACTATAACTGTCGTCTCGTTTCACAAATATTCAGAAATTTCAAATGCATTTACTGGACTTATTTGACATTTGACTATATATATATATATATATATATATAGTCAAATGTCAAATAAATCCAGTAAATGCGTATATAGATTCAGTAATTGTTACTTTTAAAACAGGAGAACTTAATAAGTAGTAGTTAAAATTTTGCTTCAGTTTTGTAGTACCAACATAATTTAAATAGCTACTCTCGATAGGGGGATTTTTTTATACGCCAAAAGAAGGTCAGTGCATCGCTCGTTTATGCATGCACGATAAATATAGGTCATGGAGATACAGCCATGTTAATAGGCCGGCCATTAATTTGCCAACTTCAAAAAGACTTCCAAATCATACTTAGGGCCCGCTCGATTTCGTGTGAATCGAATATTATTTTTAAATTTTTAGTTCCATTTTCGTTTTTGAACTCGATTATTTGGTTTGTTTTAGGCGTATCAAAGTGTTATGGGACGCAATTATAAGCACTTTTCGTTAAAATTCACACCAATGACTGTCATTTTTGGTGAGTCTTCATAAGTAAGACTATCGCGATCAATCCCAGCTACTAATTCACTCTCATCAAATATCTGATAAATAAATTAGTCGCGTACTTGTCACTAAACAAATTGCATGAACAGACCGTGACCAAACTAGACGTGTAGAAAGCAAAACAGAATGGTAACAATATTATCGTATTCTGTATTGGGCTCGCGTTGACAGCAATTATCGAGCATTATTGCTGTTAACACAATATTATATGCAGAGATTTATAAATCTCTGATCAACATTAAGCTCCAAATACACATTGTCAAAATCGCTACACACTAGCCTTAAATATCGTTAGGTGCTTTGCTTATCAGCTGTTCATTAAAATTGTATGTGATAAGATGATCGGTAATCTGCACCTTATACAAATAAATATATATATATGGATTAAATAAATAAGATTAACAGTATGATTTTTAATACCGTTCAAGAATTTAGTTTTTTCATCATGTGTCACATATTTTAACAGTACTCCATTCCCACCGTCTTGACTTTACTCACGCATTCCTCAACCATAACTTCACCATTATTTAGTGTAATAATAATATTGCATTCACAGTTTTAAGTCGAATACAATGGTTTTATAAACTTATGTTTTCATCAAGGTCTTAATCAGACGAATACAATAATTTCTTTCCGTAGGTTTTCGTTGGTAGCGTATTAATAGTATAGAAATTGGTAACGTTGAAATAAAAGCTCTTGATTAATCTCAATGAATGTATTTTTAAGTAGGTACATATACGTAAGAAGAAAAAGACAACAAATACTATATCGTTTCGATTTACTTTTGTTATCATAAAAATCAACAGTATTTGAAAGATAAAAGACAAAGCGTACTGTTTATCAGTCAGTTAGTTATATAATATTAAAATCACAAAAGTGTGGACATATTCAATATTCGCCACGCTATTCCAAGTCTTCATAAAGATATACAATACACGTATCGCGTGCTTGTAGAACATCTTCACACTAACCACAAACATTCAGGAAGTTAAACCTGTAGTCATAGTCACCGCAACACGAGAACTCTGAATCCTATTGAAACAAAGTACGGTTTCTAATTACAGGGGAAAGCATGCTTTTTAATAGAAAGTTTATTACTAAAATCATTGAAGCGAATCGACGAAGGGGACCGGTCAAGGACGCCCGAGTCGCCCACCAGTCGGTAAGCTCCATCCAAGAAAGGCTCGTTGAGTTACCATAACCTCACTTCATCCTGTTAAATAATACTTAATGAAATGAAATGAAATGAAATGAAAATGAATGAAATGAAAAGTCATTTATTCAGTCTAGGCTGTTACAAGCACTTGTGAAGGTCAAGAAGCTACGCCATCGGTTCGCAAAACTACGGCGGGAGACCTTGTACTGAGAAGAACCGGCAAGAAACTCAGCAAGGGCTGCTTTTTTCTCCCTGTATTGATATATACAGAGTCGTCAAGTTGAAAAATGATTTCAGAGATACATCTGAAGTCACCTTCCATTACATTATTAAGGATATAGATATATAGTTACAATAAATTTTATATTTAGTATATAGGAAGCGGCATTAGATAGGTACCTTAATACTGTTTCAAAAACTGACTCATACCCATCAAATAACAAATTACAAGAAACACTATGTCCATGCATTTCGATCATTTAGATAATCATTAACTTTATAATAGCCCTTATTCATAAGAGTATTCTTAATCTGAGATTTAAATTTGGTTAGTGGAAGCTCAATCAGATCTTGGGGAACTTTGTTAAACAATGCAATACTACATCCCAGAAATGAACCTCTTGATTTTTGGAGTCTGAAACATGGAACGGCAAGTTTGTTATTATATCTCGTGTTAAAGTTATGGGTTTGACTTTTTTTTGTAAATGCGTCATAGTTTTTTCTTACATATACTAAATTTTCATAAATGTATTGCGATGCCAGTGTTAAAATATTAATTTCTTTAAATTTTTCTCTAAGAGATTCTCTTGCCTTTAAATTATATATGGCGCGAACAGCTCTCTTTTGCAGTACGAAAATACTTTCTATATTAGCAGCTGAGCCCCACAACAAAAGGCCATATGACATAACGCTATGAAAGTAACCAAAGTAAACCAATCTTGCCGTTTCCACATCAGTTAGAAGTCTTATTTTTTTAACAGCAAAAGCCGCAGAGCTCAGTCTACTTGATAAGGCATCAATATGAGGATCCCATTGCAAATGCGAGTCTAAAGTAATACCCAGAAACTTTGTAGAATCCACTAACTCTACAGGCTGGTCATTTATTTTTAAACTAGTATTAACCTGCCTCACATTAGGTAAAGTAAACTTAACACATTTTGTTTTACTAGAGTTTAGTTTTAAATTATTTACCGTAAACCAGTGAAGGACTTCAGAGAGAGCACAATTTACTTCGTCATAACAATCATTTCCTCTCCCAGCTTTAAACACTAAAGAGGTGTCATCAGCAAATAGTACTGTCTCACACAAATCTCTTGTAAAGTGAGGAAGGTCATTAATATAAATAAGGAAAAGCAATGGGCCCAATATTGAACCCTGGGGCACGCCCATAGAAATGGGTGCTCCTGTAGACTCAGCTTGATTTATAACCACTTTCTGAATCCTAGCAGAAAGATAAGACTGTATCAGACTTAGTGAAATATTTGATACACCATAATGCTTCATTTTATTTAACAATATTTCATGGCTAACGCAGTCAAACGCCTTAGATAAATCGCAAAAAATGCCAATAGCATCGTGCTTACTCTCCCATATATCAAAGATGTGTTTGAGAAGTGCAGTTCCAGCATCAGTAGTACTTTTGCCTCTAGTGAAACCAAACTGTTTTAAATGAAGTAGCTTATTTATAGAAA